GTTAGCCAGGATGGTCTCAATCTCCTGACCTCGTGATCCACCCGCCTCGGCCTCCCAAAGTGCTGGGATTACAGGCGTGAGCCACGGCATTCGACTGTAAATCTTTATTTTTATTTTTTTCTTTTGAGACAGAGTCTTACTCTGTTGCCAAGTCTGAAGTGCAGTGGTGTAATCACAGCCCACTGCAGCCTCAAACTCCGGGGCTTAAGTGACCCTCCGACCTCAACCTCTAAAGTAGCTGGGACCACAGGCATGCATTACCAAGCCCAGCTCATTAAAATTTTTTTTTTTTGGTAGAGGCAGGGTCTCATCATGTTACCCAGGCTGGTCTCAAACTCCTGGGTTCAAGCAATCCCCCCACCTCAGTCTCCCAAAGTGCTGGGATTACAGGCATGAGCCACTGCGCCTAGCCAAGGTAAACCTCTCTTATAGACACTGGAGTCAGGGTTCCAGGTTAATAATAACTGCAAGTGTACTTTTACCTTACATTACATGAAATGTTTAAAACAGGGTCACAGAAAGCAAAGACTGATTCTATCTTTATTTCCAGATCATTTTTATGTTATTCATCCATCTGGTTATCTCCTGAACCTAAAATAAATCTCAAAAAATGTATCTTATTGTTTCTGACTACTTTCAGTTATAAATAGAGCCAAATCAGATAACAAATAGTTTCCATTGGGAATCACTGCCAAGAATGTTAAATCTAATAGCACAGTTAAGGAAAAAATTAACTGAAAACAATTTAATTGCAATTTTTTTGCCTAAACAGTCATAAAAGGGCGAACTACTTCAAAACCTATTTTAAAGTTAGTGCTGCATCTTCAGTGTGTGATTAATTGCTGTACAACTTTTCTGCAAATGCCAATTTTTCTTTTCCTTTTTTTCTATTTATAAGAATTGCTGTCCTATTTATTCTCTGTTCTATACACTCCAGTACTTCTATCATAGGTTTGATATCATCAATTTTACATGTGTAGTTGAAGCCTTCTTATCTGATGCAAATGAGATTGATAATTGAAAAAGACAGTCAAACTGCCTCAAACATTTTATTTTAAATTAAAGCATAAATGTGCATTTGTTTGTAGATTTTTAGAAATACTCCTGTAGCAATTTGGGAGGCCAAGGCAGGAGGATTGCTTGAACCCAGGAGTTCAAGACCAGCCTGGGGAATATAGGGAGACCCTGTCTGTACAAAACATTTTTAGGCGTGGTGGTGCACACCTGTCATCCCAGCTACTCAGGAGACAGGTGGGAGGAGTGCGTGAACCGAAAAAAAAAAAAAAAAAAGAAAGAAATACAGTTAAGGTGGGTTTACTGACTTGATCGAAGCATTTTCTTTTTAAAGCACACCCACTATGCACCACGCATTAGATTATTAGAGTTTCCCCAAATCTTTCACAAATTCCAAGGCATTTTCATATTATTAAATTTTTAATTTTTGTGGGTGCATAGTAGGTGTATATATTTATGGGGTATATGAGATGTTTTGATTCAGGCATGCAATGCAGAATAATCACATCACGGAGCGCAGGAAGTATCCATCTCCTCAAGCACTTATACTTTGTGTTAAAAACAATCCAATTACACTCTTTCAGTTATTGTAAAATTTGCAATTAAGTTATTATTGACTATAGTCACCCTGTTGTGCTGTAAAATAGTAGATCTTATTCATTATTTCTATTTTTTTGTACCCATTAACCATCCCCA